ATTGAGAGATGGGATCAGTAAAGCTTCCAATGGACTAGATCTACATATGTGAGAGAAGTCAATGAATTGAGGTTGAAAGCCACAGTGCTAAGTTATAAATTTTGGAACAATGTCTGGGAAGGATAACAGAGCTCAGTTTGTACTGTTTGTGATACAAGTAGGATATCCTAAATAAGCACCTGACTGTTCAGTCCTGCTCATGTGTATTTTGCTTTTGATCACAGTAATTGTATGGGCTTTTTCCCATACAATTATTTTTAATCATTTTTTTTCTTTCAGGATTAAACACAAGGCCTGTGCTGCATGCCTGGGCCTAAGAACTGAAGGATAATCAAAATATACAGTTAAACGTTTAAATTTAAAAATATAGTAAAAGACGTTGCCATTAATCCCACTCAAAATCCTCCCCTATACTTTGAACACTTATCCCATCACTCTTGCCACTTTCTGAAGCAGTTCTGGCAGTTCTCTCTTGTAGAGATTGTGATACAAAAAAACAAAAGCCGATAATGTTGCTGCTAAGTGCCAGCCGAAGGAAAGGCAGGCTAGTAGAAAGCTGCGTGTCTTTATCCACCTTATTCACTGGCTCTGGCATCGTGCAACTTCTGGTTCTTCCCCAAAGTCAAAATACCAGGAAAGGTCAACACTACATCATCAATTCTGGACTTTGGAGGGAGCCGTGACAGCACAACTAAAAGACGTGGGAGGGCTTCCAGAACCACGTCACAAACTGGCAAGGACAGCTGGACGAGTGTACTCCAACTGAACATTCTGAGGATGAATAACAGCCATGTGTCTTTTACTGCAGTAAGTTATTTTGGGTCAGTTCACTTTGCAGTCTTCTGGGATTTTTGTTTTCCTAGACTGCATTTAGACTGAGAACAGTATGAAAGTCAACCCACAAGATTGTATTACACACTTTGCAATTTACCACACACACACACACACACACACACACAAAGACACTCACTAGTTGGGGAAATGTTATCTATTTGCCTTTAAAAGATAGCACTGGATCAGAGCATTTTCTGAGACTCTCAAGCTACAGTGGAATTCTTACATTGTTGTGGTCTTCCCCATAAACTAATTTAGAGATTATGGAAAAAAGGTATAGAAACTTAACTGGCAACAATCCACAAATTTGCTTCTATTTGTGATAGTCAACATTTTGTATAGGCAGTGGTATTAAAAATGAATTGTTTGAGCCCGGTGTGATGAAACACTCCTGTAATCCCAGCACTAGGGAGGCTGAGGCAGGAGGATCGCTGGGAGCTCCAGGCCAGCCTGTGCTACAGTGAGTTCAAAGCCAGCCTACATTACATAGGAAGACCCTATTTCAAAAAACAAAATAAATCAAAATAAATTGCTTAGTAACAATTTTGTGTCGGGTGTCTAGACATCTTAGTTTGGTTTTAAGGGAACCAGCAAAATACCCCCCCATCCCCCAATTCACCAGGTAGCAGTCTTGCCAATTATGAACAGCCCATCTTCCCCAGACTTACCTCAGCGAAGCCTCTTCTGAATGGCCGGCATGGGCGAGGGCATGCTAATGCCTCTCTTCTTCCCTTAAAGCCCTGCACAGCCAAGCTTGAAAAATCTTTAAGAGCTGAGGAGTCTTCAGTCCATATTTCCCCATTTAGTCTGGCATGCTGCACTATAATAAAGTGTTTATTTTTCAGCCAAGTAACTCTGTTACATCGGGAGATGTAACAGAGACATTCTGTCTGTAACTGCTTGCATAAGAAATATATCAGAAAGCAAAGAATATAACTTAATCAGTATGAAACCAAGTTTTCTTCTTCCTATGTTCAGTAACTGTTACGGGAAACACTTTTCAGGCTGAACTAGGGTACGAACAGTGAGGTCACATGATATGTTAGAAAAGACAAGCCTGTACAATCCTCTTCTATTTCTCGTCAACACTATCATTAGTCCAAAAAGAAATAGAAGGGAATAACAATTTGTAGAAATTCTCTTCCAATTCCAATGATTTCCCCTGGCAATAGAACTGAAATGCTAACACTTGGCAGTTGTACTGAAAAAACACTTCAGGTTGGACAGATGAGATAAAATCATGACTAAACACTTGCCAAATCCACCCTCATTTACCTAGTCTCATCATTACCTCCCCCAATAATGCTCAAATGAAAAATGAGTCAAACTAAAATTTAAAGTATAGGGGGCCGGGGAGATGGCTCAGTGGAATAAACGCTTCCCTGGCAAGCATTTCAATCCCCGGTTCCGCAAAATAAATAAATAAAGTATAGGAGCTAAAAAAAATCAGAACAAATTAGCCAAGGCTTGGAGCATGAGCCACGGACCAGAGATACTTGCTCTCTATCTTCTATTTTCCCAGTGAGTAGCAGATGTACCCTTGTCAACCAACTAGGCAGAAGTGATGGCAGGGACAAAATGGCTGGAAAACTGCTTAGAGCAGCAAATCTTGCAGCAATCGCTATATCAGTACTAAACCACAATGCCTCAGAACCAACCACATCAACCACACCCTCATCCGTCCTGGATATGCCTTTCAGCTTATTGCATGTTACCAAAAATTAAAGTCTTATGTTTGGCAAATTATAAATCATTTGCTTCCTCTTCTAGAATGTTCAACTTTCATGTGTTAGAAATCCCTGCCTATATCCCCTACTTGGCATATTGGATAGACAAGGTAGGATGGCTATTATAAAAATACATTTGAAAATATTGTTATAACCAATTTTAAACAAATTCCTTTACTAAAGATGACTTAGGGCTGGGGATATGGCTCAGCAGCACAACACCTGCCTGGCAAGTACAATGCCTGGAATTTGATTCCCAGTGCCAGAAGACTCCTTCGACCTTTTCTTTTTCCTCCTAGGGATTGAACCCAGGTCAATTCCCAGGTCTCTACACATGTAAATATGTGTTTTACCCCTGAGCTGCCTCCACATTCCCTACAGACCTTTTAAATATGCATTATCATAAAACTGCATAGCTTAGGAAAATAAAGTATACAGTATATATAGTTTATCTGCATCTGGAATTCTCTTCACAGAACATCTCTTGTTACAAGGGTTTCTTATAACACACAGGGACACACTGGTTTAGGTACACACCGATTTTTAATAGACCAGCTTGGTTCTTGACACTGTAACACTGATTCATGTTCTGAAATACTCATGTTCTGGGTCTAAGTTTGAAACAGTCTGCTTAGAAACAAACTTGTAGAATACAACCAAATCATGCATTCAGAAATCTCTAGCCACTGAGCATTTGGTGTATCTGATTTTCCTAACTGCCACATAAATCCTCAACAAGATTTTTAAGTTAAAAAAAAAATAATCCTAAATACTTAGAAAACTATTTCTCCTAAAGCATACAGGATGTACCAGAATCCAAGTAAGATTTATTTGTAAGGTGCAATTTATAAAATGAATTTTCTACATCTGAGAAAGCATGAAAAAAGATTACGGAGTTCAGTTAGATCTGGATTTGAATCCTATCACATAGCAGGTATTAGACAATAAACCCAAATAAGTTGGCTAGGAACATTTTCCTCCTTTATAAAGTGCAGAGAATAATACGTGTTTTATATGTAAGGTTTTGGGCCTTACATATAAGGGACTGGAGCTAAAAGGGTCTCAAAAAATGATAGCTTTTGTTACAATTTTTACTATAACCAAGGAAACTACAGCATAAACCAAGCTCCACCCTAGCGTCAACACTTGGTCAGTGGAATATGATCCTGAGTTAGATGACTCACAAGAAAATAAAATCCACACACAGGCCAATGTCATTCTTACTTCATTGTAATATGTGAAATGAACACTAACTTAAGTAGAAAATATAAAAGTTTAATGGAAAATGGCATTTAACTTTAATCTTTAAAAGTTCTTATTTTAACAACCTGCTTACACTATTATGTTTCATATTTTAAAGAGCCATCCCTGCTGAACTTTAGACTAAGAAATGAACAGACAAGTGACACTGGAGCTAAGCACAGGAAATAATAATGAATAAATGCCTGGAAGTAAACTCTACCTTGGCTACCACCAAATATTCATAGATAATTTTCTCTAAAGGAAATACCTACTTTGAATCATAAAGCAGCAGCAGCTGCTCCTGCTGTTTTTTTGTGGCATGGGGCTAGACCCAGGATCCCACGCATCTGGGCAAAGGCCCCAGCCTGAGACTACAGTCCCAGTCCATAAAGGTTTATTCTTTACTGGTCCAAAATTTGCTGGAACATTTTTATTCAGTTGCACCTGGCTACCCCAAAAAGCATGCTATTTGGCATAAACCTGGTATAAACCTGCGAGATAATCATCTACATTCTGAAACCAGAAATGAGTTTCCTTCTGATTCACAATTCAAGAAATACGAAACAACCTTTAAAAAGTTTTAATAGTTTATAGAAATCGCCAAAAGTATCAGTTGTTCAAAAGTATTTTTTCTGCACTGTACAGAAACTGCTTCTACAAATAAAAGAGTATGTGGAAGCTGGACATGGTGGCACATACCTGTAATACCAACTACTGGGGAAGCTGAGGCATGAGGATTACAAAAGTTTGAGGGCAGCCTGGGAAACTTAGTGAGGCACTGCTGAGGGAGGGAGAAAGGGAGGGAGGGAGAGGGGGGAGAGGGGGAGAGGGGGAGAGAGAGAGAGAGAGAGAGAGAGAGAGAGAGAGAGAGAGGTGGGGGAGGAAGGTAGGTAGGTAGGAAGGAACAAAGGGTAGGTTTGGGATGTAGCTCAGTGCATGCCTAATATGCATGAACTCAATCCCCAACACAATACAGGCAAAAAACACATAGGTATTTTCTAAGAACTAAAACAGAGAAAACCAAAAGCAGAGTCTCTGTGAACACATACATAATTTTAAGTTCTACAACTCCCCAAGTAGGCTTGATTCAGAAGGCAGAGGTTGTTATAATACTATACCTGTAGTTCAGAGATACTGATGAGATAACCATTTTTAAAAAAGTATTCAAAATAATATATTCTTCCAACAGCAAGTATTCTCCCACTTTATATTTATTTCAACATACTGATATTTCCATAAACTTGCAAGTGGAAGATCAGTTCTTCAATAAAAGCCTTTTCATATATATATATATATATATATATATATATAGTACAGAAATTATTTTAAAAGTCTGTTCACATAATGGATTCTTGGTACTAACAAAAGTTGATACAAATAATTGACTAGAAATGTGACCATCACTAAACCAAGGTACACAGGACATTTCATTTCAGGGAAAAAATAATCCAAATAATCCTGTGTTAGAAGAATAAAGGACATTTGTCATAAGATACATTACCATATTTCCTTAAAGCAGGGACCATTAAAATGTTTTAAATTAAAAAATGTTCAGGCTTAACTCTGTCTGTACATTCAGCAACAATCATATCACTGGTTACATACAATTCTCTCATCATGCAAAAAGTCCTTAACTGTTTTCTAAGGTCTAATTAAGTCAAATGAGCTAATAATAGCAATTTAATTATCAAAGTATAAGCCAGTGAGGTGCAGAATTGAGCAGCTGAAATACAGATCTTGTTTACAGTACTGCTGCTACTCAACTACTACTTCACACATAGAACTATTAGGCATTGATCACTGAGAAGCAATGAGAATTTCATAATTGCAGCAAGTGAGAGAAAGGAGAGCTCCTAACACTGTGACAATCTCTGTGACCCTTGTATGTGTAGAAAGGAGTGGGCAGTAAGGGGAGGCGGACACAGCTACACTACAGCTGTATTTACTGAAGAAACTGATTTGAAGTCTGCCCAGTGTACAACAAGCAGAGCAGATAGTGGTACAAGTTTAATCTTGACATTAAAAAAAAAAAATCTAGTTTTCATTGGAAAAATGTCAACTCTTCCATGGTAAGCACAAAAAACCTCAACAGGTACACTGAAGGTAGTAACTAGAAAATTTAACAGTAACTCTTGTAATCCTTCTCAAACAGACAAAACACATTGAAGACGTTAACAATTCCTTTCAGCCTGAGTATTTATCAACCTGCATGACCTGTTGTTCCAATTGGCTTTTGGTAAAAAACAAAAAGCCCAACAAACTTTTTATAAGAGGTACCACATCTACAAGTGATGAAAATAAATTAGTTTCCCTCCCCCCAAAAAGACATTAACTTCTAACGCATAAAAAGCTATATAATATCTTATACAAATTAACCAGTGTTCTTACAAAAGTAAAGTAGTTTTGGACTGATGATGATACTGTATTTGTGGTGAAGTATGAGGCACAAGAACATATGTGTTCATCAGGCATTTTCAGTCTAACCAGTCTCTACGGTCATCATTTAATTCTTGGCAATATATAATAAACTGGGATGTATTTTGGTACTTAAATCATGAACTGTGGAGAACAAGAAGCAGTGTATTATAGAACAGGACTTGTATTTGACAACTGCAGTGCTGAACAAAGCTCTTCTATGAACTTTGTGATTTGTTTTGCCGTTGTTCACCTGTAGTAGATCCTTGCTTTGACTCTTCAATAGTCATGCTTTCCCCATCTGCAGTTGCTGACATTTCTTCATCTTCCTCATCATCATGCAGGTCTTTTGAAATTAACTGTCTAGCTAACTTAATATTTAGTCCTTCATTGTAGTGAAGCTTCCTCTTCATTTCAAATTGTCGCTTTTTTTCTCGCTCTTCTGGCGAGAGATCATTATCCTCTTCTCCACTGCTTTCTTGCTCCCCAATCCGATACTTTGGCTCTGAGCCTTCAGCAGCAGCTAATTTCTTAGCTAAGACATCTGGAGTTAGAGCTTCGGCAAGTTCCGTATCACTGCCTGCATCCTCATCATCACCTATCATACTATGGTAAGGAGTGCTTGGTTCATCTATTTTCATCAAACCATAGTCTTTGTCAGCTGGATGATAGGTTGCCAGGATGTTCATTTCATCCCACTTCTGGGATTTTTTACTCAGCTCCTCGTCGACGCTCCGGCGGGGCTCTTCGGCCGAGGCCACCACCGAGGTGGTCGCAGCAGTTTTGTTCTTCAGGATCCCCTTGATGGGCCGGTGCGACGCCGTCGAGGCCGCCATTGCCGAGGGTGCCGGCTGCTGGCTCAGGGTCGCTGCTGGCGAAGGGTCCAGGAAGAGAAAGGTCGGGCGCTCGCAGCGACCTGACAGTTTAGCCGCAGAGCCAGCTCCGGGCTAAAGTAGCCGAACTAGCTGTAGTAGGAACAACTCCCGGCGTCACTGTCACGACACAATGGCCGTGACGCCACACTGGACGCCGCGCGGCGAGCCGCCCCGCGCCGCCGGCACCCGACCCGCGCCCGGGAGAGATGCCGGCCTAGCGCCTCAGCCAGCAAGCAACGCCGAAGCCGGACTCTTTCTTTCTTTCTTTCTTTCTTTTTTTTTTTTTTTTTTTCTTTCTTTCTTATTTATTTATTTATTTTTTTTTTTTTTTTGCGGAACCGGGAATTGAACTCAGGCCCTTGCACTTGACAGGCAAGTGCTTATTCTACTGAGCTATCTCCCTGGCCCCTAAATTCTTTATAGAATTGAGCTGTGAAAGCAACAGAACTTGAGCTTTTCTTTGAAGCTGGGTTTTGATTACATTTTCAATTTCATTGATATTGGGTTATTCACAATTTTTGTATCTTCCTTATTCAGCTTTGTAGTTTCATGTATCTAGGAATTTGCCCATTTCTTTTGTGTTTTCCATCCTGAGCATAAGATTTTGGAAATAGGATTGATGATCTTCTGAATTTCTGTAAGTTCTGCTATGATTTAACCCTTTCTGTTCCTTAGTGTATGACTTTGAATTTTTTCTTTCCTCTTTTGATAAGGTTGGATAGGGGTTTATTAATTTTATTTATTCTTTCAAAGAACCAATTCTTTGATTCATTAATTCTTTGTGCTGTTTTCTTTACCTCCATTGTATTTATTTCTGTTGTGATCTCTATAACATCTTGCCTCCTGTGGGCTCTGGGCTTAACTTACTATTTTTTTTCTAGAATGTTGAGATACAAGAAAAGATTTTTTTTTAGCTTTATTTTTTGTGGTACCAGGGATTGAACTCAGTACCTTGTGCTTGCCAGGCAAGCACTTATTCTACTGAGTTATCTCCCAGGCCCCAAGAAGAGATTGTTTATTTGAGTTCATTCTGTTTTCCTGATGTGGGAATTTGCCAGTATAAATTTCCCTCTTAAGACATTTTTCATTGCACTCCACAAATTTTGTTAAATTGTATTTACATTGTTTTGGTTGTAGATATTGTTTAATTTCTTCTTCTTTCTTTTCTTTTTTTTCAGTACCAGGGATTGAACTCAGGACGCTACATTTGCCAGGCAAGCACTTATTCTACTGAGCTATCTCCCAAGCCCTAATTTGTTCTTTAATTTCACCTGTGACCCATTGATTTTATTTATTTATTTATTTTTAGAACTCGGGGATTGAACTCAGGCCCTTGTGCTTGCCAGGGAAGTGCTTATTCTACTGAGCCATCTCCCAGCTCCAACCCATTGATTTTTCAGGAGGGTATTATTTAGTTTCCATGTGCTTATGGAGGTTTTGCTTTTTTTGGTCAATAATTTTTTTGGTCAATAATTGAACTATGGTCAGGTAATATATGTGAGATAATTTGGATTTCTTTGATTTACTTGAGCATGCTGTATGTGCTACAATATGGTCTATTTTGGAAAATATCCCATAAGTAGCCAAGAAAAATGTGCATTTGATGCTGTTGGGTGGAACACTCTGTAAAGGTCTACTTAGAGTGTTTCTTCACAAGTTTAGTTTAGTTCTATCATTTCTTTGCTGAATTTTTGCTTAGTTGATCTATTACTTTGTGTCAATGGGACATTAAAATCCCCCAGTAAAATCATGTTATTACTCATCTGATTTTTCATGTCTGTTAAAATTTATCTTGTATAATTGGGTGTTCCTACATTGGGTGCATATGTATTTATAGTTGTTATCTCTTCCTTTTGTAATTTTCCTTTAGCAAGTATATAGTAACCCTTTTATCTCTTTTGTCACTTTTGGAGTGAAGTTGACATTGTCAGTAACCAGAATAGCTACCCCTACTTTTTTATAGGTTCCTGTCATATGGAGTATTGTTTTCCATCCTTTGACATTCAGTCTAGTAATTTTTTGAGTTAAATGTGTTTCCTGTATGCAGCATATTGTTGGATTTTGCTTCTTGTTCTACTCTGCCAGTCTGCTTCTCTTAATTAAGGCTGTTTATGTTGATGGTTATAACTGATATGTACTGCTTTATCTTTGTCATGTTGTTTTCCTACTGCAGGGTCCCTATTTTTCCCTTCTACTTAATTGCTTGCTATGCTTTGTAGTTCTCTTCTTTTGTTGTTTCTTGAAGTCATGGTCATCTTTGTCTCTTTCTAAAATATCTGCTAGTACTCTTTGTAGGGTTGATTTGATTTGCATGAGTTTCTTCAGTTGTTCTTTGTCATGGAAGTATCTTATCTTTTCATTAAATTTGATAGTCTTGCAGAATACATCAATCTGTATTAGAAGGTGTTTTGTTTCAGGACCTGAAATATCTCATTCCAAGCTCTTCTTGATTTTATGGTCTTTGTTTAGAAATCTGCCATGATTCCCATGGGTTTTGCATTATAGATGACCTGTTTCTTCTCTTTAATATCTTTTACTATTCTGTCTTTTTGCTCAGTTTCTGGGATCTTGTTTATCATGGGTCTGGATGAAGATTTATTTTGATTATAACTAGCTGGAGTTTTATTTGCCTTGCTTATCTATCTGTATGTGAGATTCTTTCCCCATGCTTGTAGAAAATTTTCTGCCACTACTTCTGCAAACAGGACTTTTATGTCATTTGTGCTAACTCCAGCTGTTTCATTGATACTTATTAGTCATATATTATTTTCCTCTGCATCATCTTCCAACTGTTGTGTTTTTATTTCCTGGTTCCTTGTTATTTTCCAGAGATCTTTGTTTTCATGTTCCCTAGCTGCAATGCTGTCACCAGTGAAAGGTTCAGTGTGGAGGGCAAGCCTAAGCTTCTGCCTTGGTGAGGGCAGTGCAAGCCAAAGCTGAAAAGGGATCTGATGATCGTGAGGACAGACTGAGTTTCTGCAAAGCACTCTTAATGATGGGTGGGTATAGGGGAGGGAACATCAAGCCTTGTTCATGTCCCTAAAGCAGTCTTCCAGGTGATATTGGATGGCCATGGCTCTATTGAGCTCCAGCAATGGTGATAGGAGGTGGGGTATGGCAAGCCCGGTGCCCTCTGCAGTCTTCCAGGTGAGGATGGGTGACTGGGGTTAAACATAGCTCTGGCCAGGGTGAAGGTGTTACTTTCTTAATTACTTTAGCTGTATAATGCTTTGAAGTTGGGTCCTCTCAGGGTTATTAACTTGTGTTTCCTTTTCTTCATTGTGCACACAATTCTGGAACTTTTACTTTCTCTATAAACTTCAAAATTTGTTAATAATCATAAAATAGCTTTCTGAGATATTGATTGAGATTGTGCTTAATCTATAGGTCAAATGAGAAAAAAACTACACAATAATGACTTTTGCTGTGCATAAACATGGAATGTGTATTGGTTTAGCTGTTGGATTTCTATTGCTAGTGTTTTATATTTCTGCTTAAGTAATCTGGAAAGACTTCTATCCCCCAAAACTTCACAAGATTTCTATGTTGGAAGGTTGGTTGCTGAGAGTTATAAGGATTGATTCTAACTTCACCAGTGGTCTAATCCATTGATAAGAGTATAATTTGATGGCATTATTGAGAAGAAATATCACAAGAAGGGCCCTTGTTAAGGGGAATGAAGGATGGGGAAGAGACCTGGGGGATTGTATCTAGTAATTGGCCCTTCTTTTCTGGGATGCACTCTCTCTCCCTTTGTTTCCTGATGGCCTTGAGCTGAGCAGATCTCCTCTGGGACACCTTTGCACACTGATGTTTCTGCCATGCCACAGGCATAAATGCAGTGGGGCCAGCAACCAGGGACTGAGCCTCAGAAACTGTAAGCCTCTTTTAATTTCTTCTTCTCAGATGTTGGTGGTAACTGAGAGGATACTATAGATACTTAAAAATTATAGTAGCATATGTTTCTGCAGTCACTGGGCAGCTAGGACCCTCAGGCTTTTGCAACACACAGCAGAGCTAAGCATGTGGCTTGGGGGTGAAATGGGTGAAAAGAAAGAGAGTGTAATTGTCGGAGGCTCCTTTTACTTGTAGTTAAAGATACATGGCACAAAGTGGGATCCTGGAGCCCATTGCCCTGTGGCACTACTACCTACCTGGAGCCCTCTCTGCTTCTCCTGTTAGGTGTTACCACAGCATGCCAGATTATGATTTGCAGGAGGATGGCAGAATGATAAGTAACTGAGAATGAACCTCTCCAAGTTCTGCCATCCAAATGCTGGATATAGCAACATGGGCAAGATAAGCAAGAGGGACACTGGTTCATCCAAATTAGGAGGGGACTGATGTGCGAATTGAAGCCAGTGGAAGGAGTGATAAGTGAAACTTTAATGAAGAAGGAGGCAGCTTGTTGTGCCTTCCTCCTGAGATGGGAAATGCTGCATGAGAGGAGTGGTCCAAGCCTGCCGACACATGGTGAGTTCTGATGACCCTAGGGACCACCACAGAGAGATGCAGGAATAGAGGGGAACAATGGACATGAAGGACTGCTCTAGGTGCCATGAAGGGCTCCTGTAGCTGCTGACTGACTGACAAGAATTCAGCCTTCCCATGCGAGAGAGTGATTGGCTGGGTGATATGGTTTGTGTCCATTTGTCCCCCCAAAGCCTCATGCAGTCATTGGGTCAGGCTTCCAGTGTTTGTGATTAATTCATGATCCAATGCTGGGATTATGGGTGTGAATGCTACACTGACCTGGGGTGGGTAATCTGCATACAATATGGGGAAGGCAGAGAGGTTTGCTAGCGGCCACAGCCTCTGCTCCTCCCTTCGCTCTTTGGTGTTTTCTGCTGCCATGAACTGCTGCTCTCTGCTATGTGCCTCTCCGCCTTGGAGCGAGCTGAGTATGGACTGAAACCTCTGCTAACAGTGAAATAAATAATCTTTTCCTTCCTTAATTTTGGGTATTGGGTATTTTCTTCAGGCAATGAGAAAAAGGTAACTGAGACACTGGGTAACCATTTTGGAGAGAGACCCACAGAGCTCAGAACTCAGAGAGGTTTCTGATTTCATCTAGTGTCTGCCAGCAGGGCCAAGGCC